CTTTCCTCAGTGAGCACTGGTTCCTTTTCTTGGGGAATGGCATTTGTGAATCAATCTCCGGGCACTGGGTGTGCGACCGGAATGTATTTGTTTCTAGGTCCTCCAGCGCCAGGCAACACATGATAGTCAGTCCTGTATATAAATGTATATATTATCCTTATTTCTGTATCTATCCATCTGTGTGTGTATTAAGCCACACACCGTGGAGAACCTGCGTGTTTGTTTATGTTGCCAGTGATAGTAATTAGCTTTCCCTCTCTTCTTCAGATTCCAGATATTCCTCTATTTCATATGTGCCTTCCAGAACATCTCCTGTGGCATCCACTACTTGGCTTCTGTGTTCATGGCGGTGACACCTCAGCATGCCTGCAGGCCCCCAGGCAATGTGAGCCGGGTTCTTTTCCACAATCACTCTGCTTGGAGGGTGGAGGACATCTGGGCTCTGGTGTCACCAGGCCACGAAGGCCACATTGCGGTGCAGCTGCAGAACGGTACCATCTGGGAGCTCAGCAGCTGTCGCAGGTCCAGGAGAGAAGATGCCCTGCACCTGGAGTATGAATACAGGGGCAGTAAGCTTGACTTCCCTTGCTCAGATGGCTACATCTATGACCAGGGCAAGTGGGACAGCACTGTGGTGACCGAGTGGGATCTGGTCTGTCATCGCGGATGGCTCGCAAAGCTGATCCAGCCTGTGTTTATGCTTGGAGTTCTGCTGGGAGCGGTGATTTTTGGCTACCTTTCTGACAGGTAAAATGGGGTGTTCAGTATTGTTGGTGATCAATAGTTAGTATTAGCATCAGTCTGGGGTTCGTTTTCCTCCCTGTTCTTAAGATAGGGAGAATGATGTCTAAAATTTCAATCAATTTCATAGTCACACTCCTCCCTGAATACCTCTTTGCCTGTCCATTAATTAACCAATTGCTGTTGAGTCAATTCCAACTCCTGGTGCCTCCACAGGTGTCACAGTAGACCTGTCCTCAATGGCTGACTTTATGCAAGTAGATCACCAGGCCTTTCTTCTGAGGATCCTCTTGGTGGATGTGAACCTTCACCCTTTTGGTTAACAGTTGAGTGTTTGAACTGTTTACATAGCCCATCATCTTGTCCTTTTGTTAGTGAAGCAGAGCAGTGTGGTGAAAGCATGGGTTCTGAAGCCAGTTGGACTAGGTTTCAGTCCTGATTCGACCACACGCTGACTGTAGACCCAGGCAAACCAAGCTCTCTGTGTTTCACAGGGCGCTCTAGTAGTGCAGTGTCTAAGCTCTGGGCTATTCACCAGAAGGTTGGCAGTTCAAACTATCAGCTGCTCCACAAGAGAAAGATGTGGCCGACTAGTGCCACGCCTCCTCCCCCATGGCAAAGATTATAGTTGGGAAACCTGACTGGGTAATGCTACTTTATCCTGCAGGGTCACTACGGATTGGAATTGACCCCACAGGCATGAGGTCTGTGTTTCAGTATCTTTCCTGTAAGCCGGTGAGAAAGATGATAGCGCTCACCTCGAAGGATTGTTACGAGGTTTACACTGAAAAGTGTACTCTGGACATACTGGTGATTACTTTAAATATTTTTCTGTACGAAGCAGCGGTATTACTAAAGGGTACCCTTGCGAGGGGTGCGGACTGCCCCAGGAGACGCTGTCAGAGGAGGTGACAACAAAATAACCATCTATAACATTTTTGTGCAGTGTTTTAGCAGAAACCTACTCTTTTAAATAAAATATCCCTGTAGTTAGTGATAATAGCAAAACGTTCCATAAGCCCAGCCCACATGTATCAATATACAAACAAGGCTAAATCTCTCATGCTAATTTAACTTTCGAACCTTCCCAAGCACTCCCGTCAGGGCTGGCATTATTACCCAGTTGCACTGGCACTTGCTGCAGGCGCACTGCTGTTTCCCTTGCTGCTGGTGTTTTTATAGTCATTGATTTGGTCAAATGTGCTGGTGTTTTAGCTACAATATTGTGATAAGTAGTATTTGTGACCGTATATTGGTAAGTTTGTTGAAAATGAAGTAGTAATTCAAGAAGACATGAAAAATGAAAGGCTTTTTTCTCAGTTACTAATAATATTGTAATGTTATAATTCAATACAGTAAGATTTAGCAAAACAATCTTGTTGTGAGTGTTAGGTGTTGTCGGGTCAACTCTGACTCATAGCAACGCTGTGTACAGCAGACTGAGCCTCAGCCCGTCCTGCGCGGCCATCGCAAGTGTATTTTGTTTGAGCCTGTTGTTGCAGCCCTGTGTCCATCCATCTCCTGATAGTCTTCTTTTTTGCTGCCCCTCTCCTTTACCAAGCATGGGGATTGGTCTTTCCTGATAATATGCCTGTGTTAGTCAGGGTAGACTAGGGAAACAAATTCATAGACACTCATATGTGCATAAGAAAGAGCTTCATATAAAAGAGCAATTGTATATTGAGAAAACATCCCAGCCCAGTCCAGATCAAGTCCGTAAGGCCGATATTAGCCCAAATGTCCAATGCCAATCTATAAATTCCTCTTCAGACTCACGCAAAACATGCAATGACACCAACTTCAGGAAGATCACAGCCAGTGGGTGGAAAGGCTTGTGGATCCAGTGGCAGTGGAAGCATCTCAGCGCTGGCAGGGGTCTCCACATGGCTCTCCCAGCTCCAGGGCTCTAGCGTGGCTCCATGTGTCTTGTCAGCAGGAAGACAAAGCAGAGAGTGTGTGTATCTGGCCTCCAGTTCATGATATTTTCAGTTGTCCTCACCAGCACCACAATTCAAACATATACATTCTTCTTCAGTCTTCCTCATTCAGTGTCCAACTTTCACATGCATAGGAGGCAATGGAAAATACCATGACTTGGGTCAAGTGCACCTTAGTCCTCAAAGGGACCTCCCTGCTTTTCAATACTCTAAAGAGGTCTTGTGCAGCAGATATATTCAATAACACATCTTTTGATCTCTTGAGTGACACTTCCATGAACATTGATTTGTGGATTCCAAGCACGACAAACACCTTAAAATCTTTGATCTCTTCTCCATTGATCCTGATGTTACCCATTGGTTTAGTTGTGAAGATTTTGGTCTTCTTTGCATTGAGTTGTAATCTACACCGAAGGCTGCAATCCTTGATCTTCATCAGCAAGTGATTCAAGTCCCCCTCACTTTCAGCCAGCATGGTTGTGTCATCTGTACGTTGCAGGTTGTTAATAAACCTTCTTCCAGGCCTGATGCCTCCTTTTTATTCATATACTCCAGCTCCTCTGATGATTTGCTCAGTACATAGATTGGATAAGTATGGTGAGAGCATGCAACCCTGGTGCATTCCTTTCCTGATTGTAAACCATGCAGTATGCCCTTATTCTGTTCACGACCCTCTTGGTCTATAAGCAGGTTCCACCTGAGCACCAAGAAGTGTTGGAATCTGGAGTCTCCATTCTTATCATAGATCAGTTTTCTCTCCTTAAAATGCACAATTACACCAAGTTACTTGGATTTCTTCCCCTCTTTTTGAGTTAAATGTTCTAATTAAACATCAGATTAATATGGTTAGTAATTAATAACAAATTTCAGTACCTATATTGATCCTTATTATAAAGCACAGCCAGGTAGGAGTGAGCTAAATTCTTTTAAACAATTAATCATGTGTTTGGAGATCTAGGCTGCCTGAGCCATGAGGCAACCACTGATCATTGCTACCTTCTGGTGGGGTGGTATGGTAATGAAAGGCAGAGTGACCAGGATAAAAAGTTAAAAATCCTGATGACATCTTGGAATCACTTTATATTGACTAGATAAATTAATTATTGACCTTTACACTCAAAATTAGAAATGAAGAGTTATGTAGAGGGTAGGCTAGGGCACATTATAGTTTGAGATTGAAAAATATAGTATCCTTGTGAAATCTTTATACTTTTTAATATTGGGGAAACTATTGAGTGTTTTTATTAAGTCATTTTATTGGGGGCTCATATAACTCATCACAATCCATACATACATCAATTGTATAAAACACATTGTACATTTGTTACCCTCATTATTCTTTTTTTTTAAATTATTTTATTGAGGACTCGTACAATTCCTATCACAGTCCATACATACATCCATTGAGTCAAGGACCTATGTACACCTGTTGCCCTCATCAATCTCAAAACATTTGCCCTCTACTTTAGCCCTCAATATCGTTTGCTCATTTTCCCCCTCCCTCCCTTCTCCCCCCTCCCTCCTGAACCCTTCATAATTCATAAATTATTATAGTTTTGTCATATGTTGCATTGTCCGATGCCTCCCTCCGCCCTCTTCTCTGCTGTCCATTCCCCAGGGAGGAGGCTATACTTAGATTCTTGTAATTGGTTCCCCCCTTCTACTCCGCATTCCCTTCACCCTCCAGGCCTCGTCCCTCTCACCGCTGGTCCTGAAGAAGTCATCTATCCTGGATTCCCTGTGTTTCAAGTTGCTATCTGTACCAATGTACATCCTCTGGTCTAGCCAGATTTTCAAGGCAGAATTGGGATCATGATATTGGGGGGGAGGAAGCATTGAAGAACTAGAGGAGAGTTATATGTTTCATCGTTGCTACTCTGCACCCTGATTAGCACGTCTCCTCCCCTAAGCCCCTCAGCAGGGGGGCTGTTCTGTTGCCAACTGATGGACTCTGAGTCTCCACTCTGCACTCACCCACCTTTACAATGACATGATTTCTTGTTCCTTGATGTCTGACACCCGATCCCTTTGACAGCTTATGGTCACACATACTGGTGTGCTTCTTCCATGTGGGCTTTGTTGCTTCTGAGCTAGTTGGCCGCTTGTTTATCTTCCAGCCTTTAAGACCCCAGATGCTATATCTTTTGATAGCCAGGCACCATCAGCTTTCTTCACCACCTTTGTTTATGCACACCTTCATTTTCAGTGATCGTATCAGGAAGGTGGGCACCCACTGATCTGATTTTTAGTTCTTTGATGTCTGATAACTGGTCTATGGAGTGTTTTATATGTTATTCTATCTTAGGATAAAACCATGTGACTTCTCATCAATGCTGTATATTGCTATATTCATTTAGCAGGTTATTGCATAAATGATCACCTGAGCTTTTTCTGGTGAAGAATGTTGAATGGTTGACACTTGAAACTAAAAATGTTTGGGATTATACTCTGTTGTATGACAAGAGTGAGGTATCAATAATGCTTTTTAAAGAATATCAGACTGTATTGATGGAAATAAAAAGCTTAAGCTTAGTTCACAGAAACGTGGCTTGAATACGTAGTGTGCGCCAACCATTCTAACAGATACAGAGTTTGATATTTTCTAAGATCCTAAGAAGTTATAAAGAGTCCTTAGTGGCTCACTTGATAACTGAAAGATCAGTGCTTCAAAGCCACCAGCTTTGTTGGACAAAGATGTGTCCATCTGCTTCCATAAAGATTACAGCCTTGAAATCCCTCTGGGACCACTTTACTCTGTCTTTGATGGTCACCGGGAGTCGGAATTGACTCAGTGACTATGGCTTTAGGTTCTGTGGAGAAGTTAAAAGCACAAATCAGGACTCATTTTGATATGTAACTCACATTAGCATCACTTGGGAACTAAACAAACAAACAAAAAAATCTCAAGAAAACAGGGTAGCATCATCGTCCTGGGCTGGTCGTGACATTGTAGCCTTTGAAAAAGTTTAAAGATGCTGTGGTGGCATAGTGGATTATGCAATGGGCTGCAAATCCCAACATCAGCAGTTCAAATCTACCAGTTGATCCACAGAAGAAAGATGCGGCTTTCTGCTCCTGTAAAGATTTACAGCTCAGAAACTACAGGGCCAGGTCTCCTTTGTCCTCCAGTGTCGCTATGAATTGGCATCAATTCAATGCCTGTGAACTTGGTTGGAAGATTAGGTTGTTGAGAGAGACAGTCCTCATGGAATCTACTGTATTCTCTTACCCAAATGACCCATTGCATTGGGCAAATCTGCTACACAAGGTCTCTTTAAAATGTTGAAGAGCAGGGATGTCACTCTGAAGACTAAGGTGCGCTTAACCCAAGCTATGCTATTTTCTGCTGTGTCACCCATACGAGGCAGCCGGACGATGAATAAAGAAGACTGGAAAGAACTGATGCATTTGACTATGGTGCTGGTGAAGAATATTGACAGTACCACTGCCTGCCAGAAGAGCAAACAAATGTGTCTTGGAAGAAGTACAGCTAGAATGTTCCTCAGCAAGCATGCTGAAGGAGAAGCAAGGATGTTCATGGAGGCAGTAGGATAACGCTTAAAGAATTTAATTGGAATACCAAAACAGAGGAGAGAGAAATAAGCCTTGGATAATAGTTGAAGGAGCAATGCTTGGGAATTGTTAGAACTCTATTTTTTTTTAAAGGCCAATGATTCCAAGGCAAAAGTTAAAAGGAAAAAGGCACCCAGAAACTCGTAGGTAGACACATCCCAAATCTGTAGAAGACCAGAGCAAAGAGGTCATGTTAAGCACAGCCGGAGGAAAGGACAGAGCATCTTCAAGGTGCAGCAGTTAAAACAGTATCTGCTTAATGGCAGCAATCCAAGGCAGAAGACAGTGAACAGATGTCTTCACATTTGAAGATTACAAACAAACTTCTCTTTGGAGATAAACACCAAAGAAACCACAAAACACAAAACAAAACAAAAATCCCAATAAAAAGAAAACTGATGATGTTATGTATGGATTGTGATAAGAGTTGTATGAGCCCCTAATGAAGTGATTAAAAAAAAAAAAGGAAATCAACCTGTTGCTGTTCGGTGCTGTTGAGTCTGCTTCGGTTCTCAGGGACCCAACGCACCAGCACCACGGAACAAAATGCTGCTTGGTCCTGCCCCTCCTCCCAGGGAGCCTCTCCAGGTAGCCACTACGTCAGTCCATCTTGTAGAAGGGATTTCTCTTTTTCTCTGTTCCTCTACTTCACAAAGCATGATGTCTTTCTCCGGGGATTGGTCTCTCCTGACAACATGACCAAAGTACATCAGGCCAATTCTCACCATCTTTGCCTTTAAGGAGCATTCTGGGTGTACTTCTTCCAAGAAGGACAAACCAACACTGCCAACTTCAAATTCTGTCCACAGGGAAAGTAAAACATCTTTCAAGAAGAAGCACGGAGTAGAGCTATCTTTAGTCAAATGGAAAGTGAGCCAGTTTGCCTCCAGCAGACCCTTTTCTAAAAGAAATGTGTCCGTGCGCATGACCTCGTTTGGGTAAAGGCTTTCTTTGAAAAATATTGTCAGGTATATTAATGAGGCCATGCTGAAGTAATAAGAAGATTTAAAAATTTTACTGCCATCCAGCTGATGCCGAATCATGACCACTCTGTATATGTCAGGGAAGAATTGCCCCTGTGGGACTGGGAGAGTGTAAATCCTTATGTGAGTCGAAAGCCTCACCTTTCTCCCCCAGAGTGGCTGGAGCCTTCAAGCAGGTAACCAGTACATTGCACCTGTGTTGAGGCTCTACTCCAGTCTGAGAGGTGTCTTCTGAAAGGGGAGAACAGGATTCTTAGAAATACAGGTCACACTCATCTTTTGTGAATTGGAATGGCTACTTAAACTGCTATAGCTCTCCCTTGCTTTTCCATGGTATGATTATTATGTTTCAGGGTAGGACGACGACTTATCCTGTGGTCCACAAGCATCGGCAAGTTTTTGTTCGGCATAGCAGTGGCATTCACGTATGATTATTACAGCTTCATGGCCACGCGCTTTCTTCTTGCCATGGTGAGTTTGGAACTTTCATCTTTTAGTTCTGCAGCATTTCTATATAAAACCGTAACTCAATTTGATTTGCTCATCTAGGAGCTAATGAAAGAGAACCATGGTTAACCTCTGTTCATTCCACTGTAGAAGCCTTTCTGTGGGTTATTAAGGCCTCAGGTATAGAATGGAGTACACAAACACGAGAAAGTGTTGCTTATGAGGCAGAAGGGTTTTGTTTGATGCAATTCCTGGCACATGACCCCTTCCTATTATTACTAAGGCATTATTTGCTTCTTGGTCTAGTCAGGCCCCATATATATGAGCCAAACGGGGTTAAGGTATATTGCTAAAGTAATTTGTGTAATGCACAGTAATAATGAAAATAAGAGTGCATTAGAGCTTTATTTTATGAGGAAGCAAATGTGGTGGAAAGAACATGAGTTTGAATACCAGCTTTGTCATTGATTGACATGTTACCTGTGTGACCTCAGGCCAACACATTATCCTCCTTGAATCTTAGTGTCTCATACACAGAGAATAATACATACATAGAGAATAATACCTGATTCATGAGATTGTTTTCAAGGTTCGATGAGATTAAACGTAAACACCCATGGTATAGCCCCTGGCATAGAGTAGACATTCATATCCATGATACCAGTTACTGAGAACAGGCCAGTGAAACAGGGAGGAATGTGTACTTGGTGAGGCAGCCAGAGAGGCCTTCAGACTTCCAAACAACAGCACTGGTTCTGTTTGGAGACTACTCGTCAATGGCAGTGGAGTGAAGTTTTCATCTAAAGAGAAAAACTAATGATCGTGCTGTCAACACAGAGGCAGGCATGCATGAGAGCCCCTCTAACTGGGGTGGGTGATCTGAGAGTCTAGCGAGAAGCCAAGGAGTTAAGTCTAAGAAGTCATGAGCCCCTTCTCAGAGAACAAGGTGTGGTGGGTTCAGTTTGGGAGTCTTCATTTGTGGAGGGAAAGGACTTATAGGCAGCCACACTAGGTGTCCATGGATAGGGGGTTAGTTATGCATTGAAAGCATATCTGAGATCTACATATAACCCCTTCCCAGGGGGACGAACAACAGAAAAGTGGGTGAAGGGAGACAGTGGTTGGTGTAAGACATGAAAATTTTAAAATAAATTATCAAGGGTTTATGAGGGAGGAATGGTGGTAGAGGGAGGGGGAAAAATGAGGAGCTGATTCCAAGGGCTCAAGTAGAAAGAAAATGTTTTGAAAATCATGATGGAAACATATGTACAAATGTGCTTGGCAAAATGGATGGATGGATGGATTGTGATAAGAGCTGTAAGAGTCCCAAATAAAATGATTTAAAAAGATCGGAGAACATTGAAAGTGTTGAGTCTTGAGATAAAGCCAGTGTGTATATGTGGGCTTGTGCAGCGTTTTGCATACCACACCAGCAGTCTGTCTCCACCACCGAGGCCAGGGTAAGAGGAAAGGGCTCTGTAACTGCAGACTCAGCTCTGACAGGAGAGACCTGCAGCCCTGACGGATACTGCAACAGGCCACGGGCACCAAGAGAGTTTGAAGGCCCTCAGCTGGAAGGGTTGCGAGGATAATTCTGGAAATATCCATGCCTGCCTTGCACAATACCACGTGTTGGTTTCCAGTGCCGAGAACATGAGGCAGCATCCCCAGAATAGATCTCTGAAATGTGGCCTTAATTTTCGGTGGCTCTTTCCTTTGATTTTTTTTGTGGGTCATGCATTCGTGGAAGAATTGTGAGTCTGATGGAGGCCAAGAGATTCATTTGTCCAGCACATTATTGATTGGCCTACAGAATGCAATGCTAAGTAAGCCAGATCCAGGCTCTATTTTCAGAACCCTGCCTTCCAGTGAGAAAGCAAGACACCAGCCGTCTTCAAAAGTAAAACAATTAAGATGATGAGACTGTCACAGTGTGTATGGTGTCCCCACTGGGTCTAGAGGGTCAGGGTTTTTGTTCTAGTTTCCAGCGACCAGTGAGGGAGCATGCCAGGCAGCAGGAGCAGCAGGCGAGAAGGCTCTGAGATGAGAAGCTGAAGGTCAGACTGTCCAGAGACTGGAGGAGGCATAGGTGCCCAGATGGTGCTGTGGTTAAGCATTTGGCAGCTAACCAAAAGGATGGTATCGACCCGATGACTTCTCAGGAAAAAGATGTAGTATGCACTCCTCTGAAGATTGCACCCTAAGAAAGCCCGCTTAGGGCCGTTCTACTTGGTCACATAGGCTTGTAAAGAGTTTGCGCTGTTTCACTAGGGGCAAGGGGAGCCACAGAAGGGGTGGTGACATGGTTATTCTGCCCCTTTGGGGAATGGGGTCAGGGTAGATGGAAGGAGGAGAGTTTATCAGCGGAGCTGATAGGTGGGAATCGATCCGAGGTGTATGGAAGTTTTCAAATGTTCAGGGAGCAGTGCCTGCCTGGGTTGTCTGACCCGGAAGGTAGGTAATGGGTTGGAAGTGGGTGTGGACTCCTGAGCTGTCACTGCTGGACAAATGGAGAGGGACTGATAGAACACTTTAACTTGATGGGGCAACATAAACAAGGAGCCTTCAAAAAGTCCGTGGGAAAATGGCATGAAAGGATCCTGGCGTTTTCCCATGAGGTTTGAAAGCCCCCTCATAGTATTTGACAAATGCAGCACACGTTTACCGAGCGATGCCCGGGTCCCAGATGTGGAAGCCCTCATCATCTATCAGATTTCTTGGATATTGGGGCTCTTGGGTATTGGTGTCGCCATGGTCAGAGTTCATCATCTGGGTCCTGAGTGACAATATGGTGAGGGGAAGTAAAGACTTTTGTCCCCATTCAGGAAGCTGGCATGGGTTCGGTAGTCCAAATTGAATACCTTCCTGCTTACTCCTCCTCGCAGTTCCCGCTCATGGCAGGGCACCTGTGTGGGCCACTGCTTTAGGCAACTGTCCCATGCAAGGGGAGATTGCTGCCTGAACACAGGGGCATGACGCTGGATTCCCACCCTTTACAAAGTAGGATCAGGCCATCTTAAAAGAAATTTCCATCAACAAGGGTGATGAGATGAGTACAATGTGAATATATTTAAAGTAAAATGAAGCGAGGACGTTGGGAGAGCCAGTGGTGCCCTAGAATAACTTTCTCATGTATGCTGCAATACTCAATGTGAAATAATTTTGTCATGAAAGTCTTGCTTCTTTCACTCCCCTCCTCTTTTATTTCCAAACCCCGAACCAAACTCACTGCCATCAAGTCAATGCTGACTCACAGCGACCCCCTGTGGGTTTCCCAGACGTCAACTGTTGATGGCAGTAGCAAGCCCAGTTTTTCTCCCGAGGAGCTGCTGGTGGTTTCGAACTGTCGACCAAGTGGATGACAGCTCAATGTGTAACCATCACACGACCATGGCCCTTTAATATAAATTCTACTAATTAAAAGTAGACTTTTTCAAAATAAAGTTTTTATCAATGACGTCTTTCTTCCCATTAGTTACTATTCAATTTATGACCCCATTTTCAGTGACGTCAGCAATAAGGACTTCTTGTGCATGGATAAAACAGCCTGGTGGCACAGTGGCTGAGCACTCAGCTGCGAGAGCTCAGCCCTTTGAACCCATCAGACACTCAGTCTACTTCCATAGAGATGACCGCTTGGGGGACCTTCTGGGGCAGTTCTCCTCTGTGTAGAGGGCATCTAGGAGTCAGAATCCACGGGGCAGCAGTAGGGTGGGTACACGTACCGATGATTGCATTTGGGCTCAAGCCCAAGAGAGGGAGAGGCTCCCTATAGGTAGAGACCAAGAGATGGAAAAACTGAACTGGCGCCAGTTTGAGAGACATGAGTGTATTGGCGTGAGGGGCTTACAGACTGGGCCCACAGTACTGCAGCCAGTGGCAGCTGGCCAGCAGGAAAGGAGCCACATGGGAGGTCGTGGTGTAGGCTCTTTGTATACCAGTTGACAAATGACTTTGAGCGAGATAGGTTACACACCAGACTGTACGATATGTCAGGGTGTGGTATGCCTGTCTGTGGCAACGGGGGAGGGGAGGTCCTCTGGGTGAGCTGGGGGACAAACTGGGATTGCTGCTGAGCTGAAATGTGGCCATTTTGGACCATTAGCCATGGCCCCTGCAGAAGAATTGAGATGTGCATTTACAAGGAACTGAGAAATAAATCCACTCTCTAATGGAGCAGTATCTAAATGCATCTGGTATTTATAACAGAAACGATCTCTCATAGTTTGCCTTTAGGAATTCAGAGGGTGGGAGAAGATGAGAGGGCCTATTTAAGGAAGAAGGATGATCAAATTGAATGCCCTTTCACAAGTGTGATAAGGCTTGCAGAAAGCAACTCTTAGTCATTTGCTTTTTTGGCCTATGTGTGATCTGCAGGGCAATCAGCCCCTCAGTGGTTAGAACTGTGACCTTAAATCTGGACCGCTCCCTTTGCTTTTCAGGCTGCAAGTGGCTACCTCGTGGTGGTGTTTGTCTATGTGACGGAATTCATCGGCATGAAGTCTCGGACATGGGCATCTATCCATTTGCATTCTTTCTTTGCAGTAGGAATAATGGCAGTGGCTTTGACGGGCTACTTGGTCAGGACCTGGTGGCTCTACCAGATAGTCCTGTCCACAGTGACTCTTCCCTTTCTCCTGTGCTGTTGGATGCTCCCAGAGACACCCTTCTGGCTTCTCTCTGAGAAAAGATATGAAGAAGCACAGAAAGTGGTTGGTATGATGGCCAAGTGGAATAGAACACGCTCCTGTAAACTGTCCGAGCTTCTATCACTGGATCTAAATGGTCCTGCTGGCTGCAACCCCTCTGATGCAAAGAAGCATAATGTCTTGGATCTGTTTTGTGACTGGAACATTGCACTAAGAACCCTTACTGTTTGGCTCGTCTGGTTCACGGGGAGCTTGGGATTCTACTCGTTCTCCTTGAATTCTGTTAATTTGGGAGGCAGCGAATATTTAAACCTCTTCCTCATGGGTAAGTATTAAAGTATGTTTACATGTGCCAGTGAGGTCGAATTGCCTTGTTATCTTTTTGTGTGTTTTTCTTGTCTTTTCCTACCAGGGACAGATTGCCAGCTATCTCATGATGGACTCTTTTAGTAGTCGTATGCTGTAACCCACGTGTGTATTTACTTTTAAAACAATGCAAACAGCCCTGAGAAGCTTGTTCTCCCCACGCCCACTTGCCTGCTCTCCTTGCTGGCTTTCCACCTTCCCAGCCACCCCCACCCCGGAACTCCCTCCCACTGAGGTGACTTCTCAGACATTTGCCCTATAACCTCTTGGGACTCTTCGTACACCTTTCCACACATTTGTACATACCTGTAGATATGTCTTCTGTCTTAACATAAGTGAGGTCATTCATTCCATATCAGCCTTGGCAAATTTCTTTCTTTAAAAATTATACTATCCCTTGGAGGCTCTCTTCCATCTTTCTACTTTCAATAGGCTCAATTTAGAAGTTGCAGTCTGTGAAATAGCATTAAAATACACGCAGCATGTAATTTGAGTCAAACCGACTCAACAACACCTAACAACAACAATAACAACAACATGCAATCTATCTGGTTACACTGCTCTCATATTAGTAGTGGGTTAAAATGGCTTCAGATCTTGCTATCTCTTGAGACCTGACCCCTGAGGTCAGTCTACACCACACCAAACATTGGAGAAGCATTAGAAATGTCCATTTGTCCATCAGTTTAGATCAGTGGTTCTCAACCTTCCTAATGCCGCGAATCTTTAATACAGTTCTTCATGTGGTGGTGATCCCCCATCCATAAAATTATTTTCATCGCTATCTCATAACTGCGATTTTGCTACTGTTATGGATCTGTGAAAGGGTCATTTGACCCCCAAAGGGGTTGTGACCCACAGGTTGAGAACCGCTGGTTTAGAGAGATGTCACGCCTGGTCCTATGTAGTCTGCCTACATTTGATACTCCCCTCAGAAAACTTGGCACTTACATATCTAAAAATAGATGTCCTTCCTTCTCATTAGGGGCTGTGTTGACACGTGTCTGTTTTTAGTAAGAATTATGAAAGAAATTGTCATTTTAAGGAAAAACAACTTTACTCTCTTTTTGGAAAGAGTAGATGGGTCGGGGCGGGGAAGATATATTGGCAAGATTGTAGAGAGAGCTGTGTTGACCTCAGACCTTCTCGATGTCAGTTTTAGAAGTGACAGCAGATTGCCAGGGCAGAGAAACAAGTGGCAGCAGGTCAGTTGTGGCATGAAGAAACTCAGAAACTGGGCTTTGGGGTCTTTATGACACGCTTTTAAACTTTGAAGGTGATTTCCATTTTCGAGAACCCAGGCAACCTCATAAATATCAACATGCGGCCAAAGACAAATATGTGCATAGTTTCATATCCCCTCCTGATTTTGTGTTTCACCTCATTATCCTTCCCCACGAGTGCCCTGGCAGATGCGTCTAGTCAATCCTTGTGTGCTATGGCACGTTTCTGGAGCCTGGGGGTGTAGAGGGTACATGTTGGACTGTGGCCCGCGGTTGGCGGCTGAGAACCACCAGCAGCTCCCGGGAGAAAGGCTGGGCTTTCCGCTCCCGCGAACAGTTACCATCTCAGAAACCCACAGGGTTGCGATCCGTCAGCACTGACTCGGTGGCAGTGAGTTTGTTAGCGCTATGACCTGTTTGGACAAGTTGTCATCGCCTGAGATGGTTGGGTGGCACTTTCAGTTATATTGTTGTGCCACCTACAACTGATAAACACTGCGCTGTCTTCACGAGATAGCCTCCGTGTTCACGTGGCTGTAGGGGCGGGTTGGTGGTTCAAGTGATTAGAGGGAGCATGCAAATAAAATGAAGACAGGGATGGTGTGCTGGCCGCATCCCCAAAGGGTGGGCCCTTCCGCTTATACCATTTAGATCAGAGGCATAAACCACATTCACTGCCATTGAGGGGACGCTGACTCATAGCGACTCTGTAGGACAGGGTAGAACTGTCCCTGTGAGTTTCTGAGACTGTCAGTGTTTACGGGAGCAGAAAGCCTCCTCTTTCTCCTTAGGATTGGCTCATGGTTTCGAACTGCTGACCTGTGGTTAGTAACCACTTCACTACCAGGGCTCATAGCAGCATCCTGAAACACGAACTCGAATAAAACCCGTGTATTGTACCCTACACGTCTTCCGGCCATTTTATAGTTGCTGCCCAGCTTTGCAAGAGTCAGGAGATTGCCTGGTGGCTGTGCATGCAGTTCTGAGTCAGACATGGGGGGCTGGGCTCGGGGGCTGCATGCAGACAGGGAGTGGGACTTGCATGGGACCTTACTTCCAAACCCCAATCGTTCACTTGACTCCAATAACTGAATCTTAGTTTAAAAATCATAATCCAGCTTTGCACTCGTTTGTTCCTGGAAAGTTCTCTGTTCAAATGCACCTAGTGGCTCTGAGGGAGAGCAGGCCTGGTAACCCGCTCTGTAAAGATGGCAGCCAAGGGGACTCTGTGGGAGAGTTGTCCTCTGTAACGCTTGCAGTGGCATGAATGCAGATCAACCCAAGGACATAAGACAGCAATAACCACCCCCACCACTACACACACACACACACACACACACACACACACACACACACACGGCTCTTTGGGGTATCCTTATTTATTTGGTCCCCAAAAGCACTTGATTAGCTAAAAACGAAGAAAAAGAGAGTAGAATACAGTGATAGATGTATGAAAATAAAAACCAAGAACTCACTGCTATCAAGTCTATGACAACAACAATCTTACAGGATAGGGTAGAACTGCCTCGTGGGTTTCCAAAACTGCCACTTTATAGGCGTAGAAAGCCTCATCTTTCTCCCTGGGAGGGGCTGGTGGTTCCAGACTGCTGACCTGCGGATTGTAGCCCCAAGTATCACCACTACGTCACCAGGGCTCCTGATACAGGTCCAAGGAGGCTTCAAAAAAGTATCTTTTCGTTCTGTTCTCCTGTACACTTATTGAAACACCTCGTATATATTCTGGACCCTACAGTGGGGTGTGTCCTACCTTGGGAACAGCTGCAGCCTTTTCTTCTGGAGCTGTTTGTGTTCCACTTAATGGGGGGGCCCAGCACCTTCTCTCAAAGGGTTGCCTTTACCTGAGTCAGTTCTTTTCTGAGTAACTATAACCGATGCTCAATAGATCATGTTAACCCAGAAACTAGGCCTCCACTTCCATGATGTGCTACAGAACTGCAGAGATATAATGGACCCCCGCCCCCACCCCGCATCAAGCACACAGGCACACCACCCCTGAAGGGAGCCGTGGCAGTGGCCTGCGGCCAGACCAGCTGTAGGAGGAGGGACAGTTGTAGCACTGTGGCTTGTGTGGAGCTCTGAGCTGGTGACGTGTGGACATTGGTTGAGTTGAAAGAGCTTTCTGCTTGGTTCTGGCTGGTAGCGTTAAAGCTTTGTTTTTCTGGAACTAATCTTCAAATGTTGGTTTTACAGGAAGGGTTTTGAATCAGACTATGGACTTAGGGACCTGGTGCCTAACTTTTTGTTGCAAGAGAGTACAATCCCTTGTCCTCTAGAAGAGTCACGTTAGATTTTAAAATGCTTGCCCTTAGGCCTAACATTTACTAAGCGGTTACCAGTCGTTCAGGAGCTTTAGCAGATACTCTGCCTCAGTTCTACCGTGCATCGTGATGGCACTGGGATGACTCTGAGCTGATTCTGGCTCACAGTGACCCCACTTCACAGAGGATGGCTGCCCCATAGGGTTTCCTTGGCTGTCTCTTTAAGGAGGCAGATGCATACAGACCCCACATCAAAAGTAAGCAGTGTGGTCTTAGTTAATTCATTCCACAGGCCTGCCCTTCAGACACAGAGGTGTGTCCTTGGGGAGCTGACAGAGCCCATCCCAGTCATAGTGACCCTACAGGACAGGGTCGAACTCCCCCCATGGGTTTCTGAAAAGGTAACTCATTCCAGAAGTAGAAAGCCTCATCTTTCTCTTGCAGAACAGCTCGTGTGTTTGAACTGCTAGCCTTTTGGTTAACAGTTGGACACAGTGGCCAGTGCCTGGCTGTTACATGAGCATTAGTTCCTTTCAGAGGGAATGTTCCCCCTTTGGGTGAATTTACTGGAGCACATCTTGCTGCCGTGCAGGCAGGCCTTTGGGGAGTGCTCCGACGACCCTGGAGGCAGGGAGAGAGCTGGTCTTGCTTTTGAGTGGTTGGTGAGAAGACGGGGCCTCCTGTGTGGCTGGGTGCCACAGATGAAAGGGCCCTTTCGTGGTGCTAACAGTTTGCTCTGGGCTATGAATGGGAAGGTTATAGTTGTGCTGCAGAAGAAAGGCCTGGAGCTCTGCTTCCACCAAGATTCCAGCCTAACTTTCCTCGAGTTCTTAAATGCCCCCCCCCCCACTATCATGATCCCAATCCACCTTACCAATCTGGCTAGACCAGAGGATGTACACTGGTACAGATAGGAACTGGAAACACAGGGAATCCAGGACAGATGACCCCTTTAGGACCAGTGGTGAGAGTGGCGATACCGGGAGGGTGGGGTAGAAAGGGGGAACCGATAACAAGGATCTACATATAACCTCCTCCCTGGGGGATGGACAACAGAAAAGTGGGTGAAGAGAGACATCGGACAGCGTAAGATATGGCAAAACAATAATAATTTATAAATTATCAAGGGTTCATGAGGGAGGGGGGAGTGGGGAGGGAGGGGGAAAATGAGGTGCTGATACCAAGGGCTCAAGTAGAAAGCAAATGTTTTGAGAATGATGATGGCAACAAATGTACAAATGTGCTTGACACAATGGATGCATGTATTGTGATAAGAGTTGTACGAGTACCCAGTGAAATGATTTAAAAAAAGAAAAAGATTTCAGCCTAGAAAACCCTACAGAGCAGTTCTACGCCATAATGTCTGGGGTTGCCTTCCCTGTTTTGACAGGTGCAGTGGAAATTCCTGCCTACGTCTGCATATGCTTTGGGATGGACAAGGTGGGGAGAAGGAACGTCCTGGTCCTCTCCCTTATCTCAAGTGCGCTGATCTGCGCTGTAATGATGATGATCCCCCAGGTGAGACACAGTGATTTCACGGCTCATTCTCTTTGGGAATGGTTAGTTACACTCGATCACGGCAGCTGGGTGGGTGGGTTTCATCGCTATTAAAATAAGCACAAAGACCAAGTGAAGTACATGGAGAGAAGCACATATGGAATATTTTAATGTGTGTGTGTGTGTGTTTAACAAGGTTGTTTGGCCCCATTATATTGGCAAGAGGAGCCCTGGTGGCGCTGAGCTTAAAACACTTGTCCACTAAACCAAAGCTCACTGGTTTGAATTCTCCAAGTACACCACAGGATGTGGCGATCTGCCTCCATCAAGGTTAAGGCCTTGGGAGTCCTGTGCTATGTCCCACTCTGTCCTATGGAGCTGCTAGGAGTTGGACTTGGTTGGAAGGCAGTAGGTGTACATAAGCAGTGCGTGTTCCTTGTAGAAAATGTGTTTTTTTAAATAATAAAAACAACTAATCCTGCTTCTAGGAATTAGCAGTATTGCATGCTGTGAAGAAAAATAATCTTGAGTAAGAAAAGGAGATGATGCTTTCCAGTGATTCTGGCTATAGGCAGCTGACTGTGTACAAAGAGGGTAGAAGCAACCTTAAAGGGCAGGGCCAAATTGTTTCTGCATTGAGAAAGACAGGAATTTCCTTTTTTATTTTGCGTTTTAAAAAGTCACAGGTTTACTGACATATAATTCACACATCACACAATTCAATGGTTTAAACATAATAGAGAGTTGCACAATCATCACCACAAACAATTTTAGAACATTTTCTTCTTCTGCCTTGTATTTATTATTGCCAGCTCCCCATTTGTCCCAAACTCCCTGCTATAACCTAAGAAACTATTAATCCACTAACTGTCTCTATAGATAAAGTGGTCCCAGATTTTATATAAAGAAGAACATAACAAACCCAGCAATAAAGCAGAGGAAATAAAGCAGAGGAAAACCTCAATCAAAAAGAGAGCAGAAAGAATGACAACTAGTACACATTTAAAGTGGTTCAGAAGGAAGACCAAATGCTAAGGTGTTGAATCGTAACGGAACGACACCTGCATCAGTCCACTTTCTAATACACCCCCCCCACCTTGCTCGAGAGGCTCTTCACATCCCTGTCCATGGTCAGAGGGGGTCACCCGAGGCTTACTCCTCATGGGACCCTTCTAGTGGATTTTGGATGCCATCCTCAGTCTTCTGCAAACTGGCTGCTCAGGATTTCCTCTTAATTAATTAAATAATTAAAGTATTTTTCTCTAATTAATTTTGTTCTCTTGGTATTGTTCTTAGAGCACCCGGAAGTATTACTAGTAAGAAAATAATATATTACTGCCTTAAAAGGTTAGCAAAAACAAGCAGGAATGTTCTTTTGCAAGCAAATAACTATCTGAAGATTTTTTCAATATGAATGAAGATGCTGCTGGTTGTTCTAACAGATACATCCCCAACTCTCAGGGACTTAACATAATAGACGTTTATTTCTCACTCATAGAAAGTTTAAGATGGACGTACTTGGTTCAGTGGGAGTAGGAAGGTTTCTCAACTCCAGGCAGTCACTCAGGGACTCAGGGGGACTGAAGTGCTGCCATTCTCAACCCAGGAATCCAGAAGGCAAGGAGGAGGAGATAGGGGAGGGGAGAAGAGGGAAAGTGAGTGGTGTTTGTGGGCCAGGCTTGACGGGAAACAGCAGAAACCGAGTTAGAGAGACTGAGAGGGTTCTGAGAAGGTTTGTGATTGAGAGATGCTTCCGTGCTGCCGCCCACCCTTCCAAGGTTGCACTAATGGCCCAGCGCCCACTGCCTAATGACTGCAGCTCACAGGACAATGTATTTTTAGGGTTCCTTAGTGCACAGCCCGGTGGTCTGTTTGTTTCTCTTTTTCTTCCTTTTCTCCCTCCTGCCCTCCCTTCTGTCCTTCACACCTTCCTTTTTGAAGTTGTTTTTTCTTAATTGTGGCAAAATACATATAGTACAAGGTTTATTATTTAGACAGCTTCAAGGGTCCAGTGGTAGGAATGGTATCCACATTGCTGTGCAATCATCAGCCCTCTTTATCTTAAAACCTCTTTCATCACCCCAAACAGAAGCTCCATACAAGCTAAGCAACCACCCCCACTTCCCTTACTCATAGAAAGTTTAAGATGGACGTACTTGGTTCAGTGGGAGTAGGGAAGGTTTCTCAACTCCAGCCCCAGCCCCACAGACCACTAATCTACTTTCTATCCAGACACTTCATAGCAGTGGGATCGCAATAGATAGCCTTTTGTGTCCGGCTTATTTCACTTAACAATGCTGTTAAGACTCATCCCTGGTGTAGCTGCTATCAGAACTTCACTTCTCTTCATCAAAACCAGCATAGTATTCCATTGTAGGCACCCACAGTCTTCTTTGGTGGACATTTGGATCATTTCTACTGCGTTAGTCTGGGTTGACTAGAGAAACAAATTCAGAGTCATTCGTATGTGTACAAGAAAGAGTTTTATATAAAGAGTAACTGTATTTTGAGAAAACATCCCAACCCAGTCCAGAGCAAGTCCATAAGTCTGATATTAGCCCAGATGTCCAATATCAGTCTGTAAATTCCTCTTCAGACTCACGAAACACATGCAATGACACCAAATGCAGGATGAGCACAGGCCAGTGGGTGGGAAGTATTGTAGATCCAGTGGTGATAGTAGCATCTCAGTGCTGGCGTGGGTCTCCACGTGGCTCCTCCAGCTCCAGGGATCTAGCGCCGTGGCTCCATGTGACTTGTCAACAGGAATGTCTCCCAGGGAGTCGAAGCAGAGAGAGTGTGTGTCCTGCCTCCAGCGAGCTGTTTATCTCTGTGGTGCCTCCAAATGAGGTCATCAAGCTGCGACCTGATTGACAGGCTAAACTCCACCCCTTCACTCTTAATAGTCTCAAATTGGCACCAGATTATGTAAGCGCCATACTCTAAGGCCGCTGTAACACAAGTACTACCAGTGGATGGCTTTCACCTTCTCGATAAGGCTACAGTGAACATTGGAGAACCGGTCTGGTCTGTGTGAGTCCAGCTTTCAGTGATTTTGTGGTATACAATTGGTGTGATCTGAGTTTCTGCAGTTACTTTATGTTCAGTTTTTTACAAAATCTTAGCCTTTTTTCCCCTTCTTATTTTACAAATCAAGTCTTCCTAGATTAGGGGCAGGTATTCCTCAAATCTCCCCCTCACCCCCATCTAATTTCATAAAGAAGGAAAGCTTTTTACAAAATAAATTTCAATGGAAAAAATGAAACCCTCATTGGTTCTAAAAAATACTGGAGGACTTAGAAGAAATTTTAAAGTTTTAATTTTAAGGATTTTATATTTTAAAAAATATATATCAGAATGTTCTATTTTTCTAATACCCCCCTCCCCCGTGCCCCAGGATTATCATATTTGGGGCGTGGTGGCAGCTATGGCTGGCAAGTTTGCCGTCGGCGCAGCGTTTGGCCTGATTTACCTTTACACAGCAGAGTTGTACCCAACCGTCGTCAGGTACGTTTTTGTTGTTTTCCGGTGATCTTTCACTCATGTATCTCTCATTTGCCCCAGGAATACGAGTGTTTTCTTTCCATCAAAGTCAGAGTGCTGAGGTAGGGTGAGTTTGAGTAGGATGCTATTTCTGACTCGGAGGCTATTACAGTGACCAAGTGGTTACGAGTGGGGCTGCTAACCACAAGGTTCAAAAGTTCAAAACCACCAGCAAGAGAAAGATGAGGCTTTCCACTCCCGTTGAGTTACCGTTGTGGGAGCTCACAGGGTGGTTAGGCCAGGTTAACTAGAGACACAAGTCCAGTGACATTCATCTTCTTATAAGAAAGAGCTTTGATATAAAGAAGTGATTAAAGATCAAGAAAGGGCCAACTCAAGTCCATAAATCCGATACTAGTCCATTAGTCCCTCTTCAGACTCACGCAGGCACATGCAATGATGCCGAATGCAGGAAGGTCACAGGCTGGTAGGTGCAGCGTCGTGTGGATCCAAGTTCAGTGGAAACATGGCAGGACTCCAGCAGCTCTCAGGGTCAATGGCACAGCCCAAGAATGCAAAGTGAGAGAGCTGCAGAGAGAGACAGAGGCAGAGAGAGACAGCAGTTCCCAGGGTCTTCCTCATGAGAAGACTATACTCCCAAGGAGACAGCATCGGGCTGTGGCCTGATTGACAGGTTGGATTCCTCCCCTAGACATCTTCAAGTTGGCACAAAATAACGACCTACCACACAGGGGCAGTTCTACGGTGTCCTATAAGGTCACCATGAGCAGGCATAGATTCAGTGGCAGTGAGTTTTATGTGTCATTAGTAAAGACATTCAAAAATCACTTTGCTATAGAACTCTATTATCCTAAAGCTAGGAGCCCTGGTGTCCTAGTGCGGCTGCTCACTGTGAAGTCAGCAGTTGGAATCCACCGTCTTCCCCTGACGAGGAACACTTAGAGTCTCGGAAACCCACAGGGGCAGTTTACCCTACCCTACAGGGTCTGGGTGAGTTGGTATCGACTCAATGGCAGTGAGATAGGGTTGCTTTGATTGGAGTCATAGCAAGTGAGTGAAATCCTAAAACTACTTAAAATCTCAAATACTTCCACCAGCTTCCCATTTGACACAAGGCTAGATTTCTCAGGGTATGTCTTTTATGTTGTAGATGTCAGTAGTCCACCCAAAGGAAGCAAGGCCTTCTGAACAATCAGCCCTTGAAAACCCGACAGAACACAGTTCTCCTCTGGCGCCCAAGGGGCTGCCCTGACTCAGCACCCCCCACTCCATGATGACCGGCGGTGTTTGTTGCTTGCAGGTCGCTGGCTGTGGGCAGTGGCAGCATGATGTGCCGTGTGGGGAGCATCGTGGCCCCGTTCTGCGTGTACCTCACGAGCATTTGGATCTTCATGCCACAGGTGGACCCCCTCCCCCATTCACAAGCCTCAATCATAGTCTGTCTTCATTGTTTGCATTTATGTGTTTGTCTTGAACATGAACTCTTACAGTGAAGGGAATTTGAGATCCCCACAGCAGCCTAGTCCAGCAAACCATTTCTCTAGCCTTGTGTACCACCGTGTTGTTATTTATTCATGTTTTTCATCACATAGACAGATGAATAACAGTATCCGTGACATTGTGGGTGTTTGTTATCTAAGGCCGCTATAACACAAATACTACCAGTGGATGGCTTTTACCTACAGAAATATATTCCCTCCCAGTGTAAGAGGTCAGAAGTTCTAATCCAAGGCTACTCTAGGGGACAGTTTTTCTCTGACAATTCTGAAGGAAGGTCCTTGTTCCCTTTCAGCATCTGTGAGCCTCACATCCTTGGCTATCTCCATGTGGATGGATTGGCATCAATATCCCCCTGGATTCTCAGCCCAGGGACCCTGGGTCCAAAGGTTGTGATCAGCTCAGCTCTCTTTTCTAGGCTGTACTGAGAGCCCCCTCTCTTTCTCCATTTATCTCTGGTAAGGTAAAAAGTGATGCAGGCCCAACCCTAGAGTGATACCCCTTACATGGGGACTGGAACCGGAGTGAGGGTATTGTATCCACCATTATCACCTTTAAACTACCTGGCTGATTCGAGCAAATCACAGGGGATGGTTGCCTTCTTACAGAGCTTCTGACAGCCACGGCCCAGCTGAGCTGACAAACTTTTTGTTGGGACACAGTTTCCTCTATGACTGTGTCAAACTAGTTATATGTTTTTCTAAGATACATTAAAACAATCTCACAAGTCATAAAGCAAAATATTTGGCACCAGCTTAACTCACCCTGGGAATTCCAGAACACTTCATTGTGCTCCTGCAAAACCTGCACATGGATCAAGAGGCAGTTGTGGGGAGGGCTGGAGAGAGAATTCAATAGATCACAGCTCTCATCTAATGCCTATACTGCTATCCCCATTGTACAGACGAGGATACTGATGTGCAGACAAGAACTACTCACCTTGAGGGTCATACAGCTAGAAGTGACCACAAATACCGCTGCCTTTACCACAAGTTAAAACAAATACAAAACTCAACCGGACGTACAAAGGGAATGCATGGAAGGAGCCCCTCCTCCACCTGACTCCCGTTCCCAAGATGCCCCCTGTCAACCGGGGCTTGGGTGTTCTTGCAGGAATATTCTGTGACTGTGCTGCCACCTTTGGGTGCAACCGATGCTGCTTGCTTTTACTGGGTAAAAAATAAAATTTAAAAGTTCTCATTGTGGTTGTTTATGAGTGTCCAGCAGCTAGAGAGCAAGTGCTTTCATCCTGGGGAACAGAAACACTAACCTAGAAGACAAGATCAGCTTTCACTTTCTCTTCGGGAGAGGAGCCCGTGTTCTGATGCTGCTGTTACCAACCAGTGTCTTGTAGTAATCTCAAAGAATTGGGCACCAAAGCCATATCCTTTTTTGTTCATAGGGCCATTTGTTGTTGCTGTTAGGTGCCATCGAGCCAGCTCCCACTGACAGTGACCTTGTATGTGACAGTGTGTGCAACACCGTGCCATCCTCACGATCCACGGTGCGTGAGCCCTCTGCTGCCACCATTGTGTCCATCCGTCTCACTTCTTTACTAATCAAGAGACTGCTCCCCCTGACAGCATGCCCCAATAGGCCGGGTGAAGTCTCGCCAGGCTCGTTTCTAAGAAGTACCGTGGCTGTCCTTCCACAAGAGATTTGCCCATTCTTCTGGCAGTCCAGGCCATGGTCAACATTCTTTGCCAAGCCCACAGTTAAAGGCATCTGTTCTTCTTCAGTCTTCCTCAGTCATGGCTCAGCTAGCTTGCTTTCTTTTTTCAGTTTTAGGACGTTTTATTCAATCTTGTACTTACTGTTAGCTGCCCACTTCCCCACAACCATCCCAACACCGCCCCCCCTGCCAGGTATGTTGTTGTTCATTTGTTTTTAATGATTTCTGTCAATGAGATCCAGGAGAGTAAACCTGTAGAGACAGCAATTGGGTAAACCTGACTTAAACGGTTAGAATTTAGTCAATGGATCTGCCCTCTACTACACTCTGGGATTGATCTGGTTTTTAATATTTTCTGTTTTGTTTCTTTTCTTTCTTTTTTTACTAATCATTTTATTGGGGGCTCATACAACTCTTATCACAATGGATCCATCCATCCATTGTGTCGAGCACATTTGTACATATGTTGCCATCATCATTCTCAAAACATTTGCTTTCTACTTGAGCCCTTGGGATCAGCACCTCATTTTCCCTTCCCTCCCCACCCCACTTCCTCATGAACCCTTGATAATTTATAAATTATTATTTTGTCATATATTACATTGTCTGACATCTCCCTTCACCCACTTTTCTGTTGTCCAACCCCCAGGGAGGGGGTTATATGTAGATCCTTGTGATTGGTTCTTCCTTTCTACCCCACCTTCCTTCCACCCTCCCGGTATCACCCCTCTCATCACTGGTCCTGAAGGGATCATCCGTCCTGGATTCCCTGTGTTTCCAGTTCCTATCTGCACCAATGTACATCCTCTGGTCTAGCTGGATTTGTAAGGTAGAATTGGGATCATGATAGTGGGGTGGTGGTGTGGTGGTGAGGAAGTATTTAGGATCTAAAGGAAAGTTGTATGTGTCAGTTGCTACATTGCACCCTGACTGGCTCATCTCCTCCCCAAGACCCTTCTGTAAGAGGATGTCCAGTTGCCTACAGATAGACTTTGGGTCCCCACTTCCCCTCATTCATGATGATATGTTGTTGTTTTTTTCTTTGATGCCTGCCTGGCTCAGCTTTCACACGCATACGTGACCGTCAATGATGCTGTGGCTTAGGTCAAGCCCACGTTGGTTTTCAAGGTGACATCTTTCTTTGTCACACTTTAAAAAAAGTCTCTTGCAGTAGATTTTCCTGATGCAATGTGTTATTTGTTTTCTTGACTGCTACTTCCATGGGTTTTGATTGTGGATCCAAGTAAAATGAAATCCTGGACAGCTTTGCTCTTTTCTCCAGTTACCATAATCTTGTTTTGTGGTCCAGTTGTGAGGATTTTTGTTTTCTTTATGTTGAAGTATATGTAGTGCACATTGAAGGCTGACTTTGAGCTACATCAGTAAGTGTCTCAAGTCCTCTTCACTTTCGGCAGGCTAGATTGTGTCATCTGCTTATCACAGTTATTAATGAATCTTCCTCCAATTTTTCTTCATGTTCTTCTTCTCCTTCCTTCATATTAATCTCCCTCCAACTTATTCTTCAACATATAGTTCAACTTCCTAGATTACTTACTCAGAGAAAATATTGAATAAGTATGGTAAAACTATGCGAGCCTAATGCACACCTTTGCTGATTTTAAACCATGTAGTATTTCCTTGTCTACTTGCACTACACCTCTTGGTCTATGAACAGGTTCCATTTGAGCACAATGAACTGTTTTCAAATTCTCATTCTTTGTTATTCATAGTTTGTTATGATCCACACCGTTGAAGGCCTTTGTATAGCCAGTAAAACACAAGTAAACATCTTCCAGGCATTCTCTGCTTTCAGCCAGGATCCACCTGGCATTGGCAATAGTATCTCTTGTTTCACAGCCTCTTCTGTATCTGACTTGAATTTTTGACAAGCACTGCTGATGTACTGCCACAGCCATTTCTAAGTTGGTTTCAGCAGGATTTGCTTCTCTGTGTTGTTCATGATATTAATTGATAATTGCTGCATTCCGTCAGAGCACTTTTCTTTGGGATGGGCAGACATGGGGATCCCTTCCAGTCAATGGGCCGTGGAGCTATCATCCAGATTTCTTGGCATATAGGAGTAGGACCTGCTGGTCGGACCACCTCAATTGGTGTTTTATTAATTCCTGGAGATTTTAATGCCTTCAGCGCAGCTTGATCTTTTTCCTTCATTTCTTTTGTTCTCAATCATATGCTACTTCTGAAATGGGTGAACACGGACCAATTCTTTTTGGTCCAGGGACTCAGCATTCTTTTTTTTTTTTTAATCATTTTATTAGGAGCTCATACAACTCTCATCACAATCCACACATACATCAATTGTGTAAAGCCCATTTGTACATTCATTGCCCTCATCATTCTCAAAACATTTCTTCTCCACTCAAGCCCCCGGCACCAGGTCCTCATTTTTCCCCTCCCTCCCCGCTCCCCCCTCCCCCATGTGCCCTTGATAATTTATAAATGGGTAATTTTGTCATATCTGGCCCTGTCCGATGTCTCCCTCCACCCACTCTTCGGTTGTCTGTCCCCCAGGGAGGAGGTCACATATAGTTCCTTGTAATCGGTTCCCTCTTTCCTACCCATTCTCCCTTTACTCTATTATTTCTGTTGCACACACAGGGAAATGAAGGCCCAGAGAAGCGAACATAACTTTCCCAAGGTCGCATGAGTCACAAATGGCAAAACCCAGGCAGTGAGAATGGCGCTTGTAAGAGGGTTAGGCCTTCACCTTAGTGAGAAACACTTTGGGTTTTCATGAAAAGAAAATTTAATTAATTAAAGGTAGACATGGAAAAGGGGTTTTATTTTTTAAAGAGCTGAAACACACAAAAAGAAAATAGACAAAACTATCAAAACTCACTGATATGCAATGACTAAAACCAAATGAACAGATTTCTAAACAAATGGCTAGCAGTGAGGGAAGAGTGAAAAGGGTATTTGGGGGCAGATTACGCATTAAGCAAGGTTGAGATGAACGAACTTACTAATTGGTTGAGCGACATGGTTCATGACTGGTGGGGAAGTAAGCACAAATAAAGGTGACTGCTAACCTAAAGGTTGGCAGTTCAAACGCACCAGCCATTCCAGGGGAGAAAGCGGAGGCCACCTGCCCCCCTAAAGATGATTGCATCAGAAGCCTTATTAGGGCCATTGAGAATCCACCTACCAACTGTGGATTTGGCTTAGTTTTTATTGTTGTTGAACTTGTTTGTTGGGTACTGATACTGAAACATGACAGTGTCAGCAAGGAAAAGAGAGAGAGAGAGCCCTTGGGGAGGAGGTCAGAGGTGTGGAGAGGAGGGATCTATCTGGCCAGGGAGAAGGAGAAGAGAGGAGAGAAGAGGGGAAGGGAGGAGAGAGGAGACGGGAGGGAGGGAGGGCTTGGGGGGATGTTCCATTTGGGTTTTGTAGGATGTGGGGAGCTGGCCACATAGGTAGGGGATCAGCCTCTCTTCTTAGAATAAGGAAGACTGTGAGTTATGGGTCTATCTAACAGCCTGATTGATCTTACTGCCAACCTACAAAGATAAATTCAGCCCCACCTTGGAGCGTCTATTTATTTTCCAGTTTGCTCTTATCCTTTCTCAGCACTTTTCAGCACCAGACAGGTCTTTTCTCCTGGCATTTCTGGGCCAGTGGATGCGCCGCCTGCATCCTGAGACCCAGACAATGGTTTTTAAAAGCCTTTGGAACAGCACTGTAAATGCTCCTCCTGCCTCTGGGTTCTGCTTACTCATGGATTTCTCAGAATGAGGTTATCAGCGGTTTACAAAAGGACGAAACAGACGCTCTTCCCAGGGCTCATCGCTGGACTGCGGTGGCCTCGCCTTACTTACACTCTGCAGTTCATGCTTCTCCTTCTCCGAGGCCTTGCAGCAGCAAGTGTGTGGATTGATCAGTAAAACCATGCCTTGGTTTATCTTTATGGGATTTCCCAGGCAGTACATTTTGAACTTAAACTTACTTGCAGTCCAGCCTAAGTAACCCAAAGTCTCACCCAAGAAGGAGAACAACCGTTCGGTCATCTTGCCCTCTCCAAAGGGTCCAGACACGATGATTTTCAGAAAAGCGTTTTTGTTTCTTGATGTATCATTTACTTTTTATGATGGAATCTTTCCCTTTTCTAGCTGGTTGTTGGAATTGTGGCCTTTGTGAGTGGAGTGCTGACTCTGAAGCTTCCAGAAACCCTCGGGAAGCCCCTGGTGACAACTTGGGAAGAGGCGTGGAGTCTGGAATCCGGAAAAGATAGCAGTTCGGGCAAATTATGCCCCACACCCAATAACATTGCGTTGGAAAAAAGAGACATGCTTGACGCAGGGGATTCTGGTCTCTGAAGAAAGGTGCTGTATGTGCCGTCCAGCACCTCAGATACTGTTTACAGATCAATGCCTTTTGTGTTAGAGGAGTATCACTCTCATCTCCGGCATGCTGTTCTGTATCTTTTCTTGTAAGAAAAAAATTCTTAAAATTGTTTTGCACAAGTAAAAGAAATAAAAACCAAGCTGAGAGTTCTCGTTTTTTAAAACGCCATGCACTTACTGCCGCGAAGGCTTTTCTGAGTTTGCTCCTCGGCGTCATGGATTCCAGCACTTGACCTCCACCAGGACCAAGGAGTCCTTCTCCCCCAGGGGCCTGCCCTCTGAGGAAGGGGGTGGGAGAACGTTCTTCTTTTGACACAGCCCCTTGAAGATTCTGTTTGTCCTTCCTTCTCTTCCTGGGAGAATCCGAGCCCTACCTCCAAACCTGACTCAGAAACGCCCTGCCAGCAAAGGCTTGTCTTCATCATGGAGCTTAGTAACTGCTGTGGTCGGGCGCCAAGGAGTCGGTGCCGGCCCATCGGGACCTTAAGCCCCACAGAAGGAAACCCTGCCGGTTCTCCGCCACCACTCACAATGGTTCCTAAGCCTGAGCCCGTTGTCGCAGCCACGGTGTCAGTCTTCCGAGGGCCTTCCTCCCTTTCACTGCCCTCCACTTGACCGTGGGTGTTGCGTTTCTCCAGGAACTGGACTCTCCTGAGAGCATGTCCTGTCCCCACCCACAGGAACGTCAACGCAGACCCCGGAGGAGGGAGTGGGAATTGAGGGGAACAAGAGACACGAGAAATGGAGACAAGACAGTATTCTGATCAAGTCTCTCTTTATTGAGTGAAAGGTTGCAGC